GAGAGCGAGTGAGCGAGAACGAGCGGTGGTGAACAAGGGGGTAGAGAGAGGAGATCAAGATTGCGATCGAGGAGGATACGGAGGGAAGAGGAAGTTAGAGGAGATCGTTGGCGAAGCACGAGCCACGATCGAATCATGCGATACGATTTGTCAAGAAACTCGTTGAAGGTTCGACGAATCGAAGTAAAGAAGGGGGGAAGAGTAAATTGTTCGATCAGCCAGAAGAAGGACTTGTAACGGTTCGTTCGATCATCGGACGTCTCGATCGTTCCACGCGATCGTTCGTTCGTTGGTTCGTTCGCTCGCTCGCAGGCAGAGAACCCTCCTGGAAGGGTATCCCCAGCAAGGGTAACGACTCGTCCAGTTTGAACAACATCGTCGGTCGCTAGAGATACGCACCAAGCGCTTACGCTCGAAATCGGTATCGAGAAGAGCAAGTGGCAGCGTTCGCTGAAACCACGAGACAAAGAGAGAGAGAGAGAGAGAGAGAGAGAGAGAGAGAGAGAGGAAGAGTTGCTGGCTGTAAATCGAAAGGAGCCAGGAGAGAACAGGGGAGATTCTTGCTTCGTATCCAGTTTGATTAAGGAAACGATCGAATATGGAAATCGCAGCCTCTGCAATGTTGGATGGCCTGAAAAATAATCGAATCAGCAAGTTGGCACTGTCGCGGTTCTTGTCGCAGAGTCTGTGAGTAAATTAACTCGGCCGTTCGTCGAGCACGTAATCGATTCGACGTGGTACGAGTAACCAGGATGCTAGAAAGCATCGGCACGTAGCGGCGCACTAATTGATTGCTTGGCTTTTTTCCTGCTTCCGCCGCGTTTCATCGACATTTAGGCAATTAGTATCATGCACGACGCACGGTTTCTCCAAGCCGTGCGCTCGTTCATTACGCGCATTCGCTTCTCTCATCGCTCGCGTCCTCTAGTTCTCGTAGTGCGCGCGACACGCGCGATAACGCGTGATAACGCGTGCACATCTCCTCGCACATCTCCACGGCCAGCCAGCCTCCTCGCCCTCTACCGTTCCGCGAAAGATAAGCGACGAGTTTTCCTTTCCATTCTTTCTTTCTTCCTTCTTTTTTTCTTTCTTTCTGTCGTCCTTTCGTTTTGTGAATGATCTAGTGGCGAGGAACGTCCAGAGAGAAAGTTCCGTACGTTGTTTCTCCGTCGACCTGGAGACTGTTTCCTGTGTCTTCGGAGGGACACGATCCTCCTCGTGCTTTATCGCGGATCATCGACGGACGGCTCGTTGTCGGACCGTTTCTGCGCGTATATTCAAGTTGTCACGTACAACATTGTGAGACGCTTGATTACGACAGTAGCTCGGTTGGAAAAGAGGGAAGATGAGATTACGTAGAAAGATGGAGAAATCGAGGAGAGGGACGGCGGGAGTGAGGGAGGGAAGGTGGAGGGAAGGGAGGGAGAGAGAGAGAGACACTGGGCGCAGGAGAGAATTAGCGTCTTCTCGCTCAATTTGCAAATTGAAAGTTTCAATTGGTGTAGGGATCGATCGAGGAAGCGAAGGAAAAAGCTCTGTAAGCGTGCAGAGGATAGTTTCGCTTCGATACCAGTCTGATATCGTCCGATAGACGATAGACGATAGACGAAGCTCGAGTCGAAAGATCGAAAGGTTGGAACGAGGCGTTAAATAGGTGGGAATAAGCGGAAAGGGGAAACGGGTTTTGTTCCTTCTATCGTGCTCGATGATGGAATATGGACGTGGTAGCCCCCGTTAATCGAGGTACTGGAATCGCTCGTGGCGATAAATCTACCAACCAAGAGACCTACACCTATCTCTAGTTGACGTTCGGTCAGCTAAACGGCACGAGGACGCGCTTGCGCACCCCATTTGTGGCTGCAACCCATTTTCGTTCCTTTCATTTCCCATCTGACTTTTTTTCTTTTTTTCCCCTTTTTTTTCTCTTTTTTCCTTTATTCGACGACGAAGAGATACGAGTAATTGAAAGGACATCGGAGGTGGCCCACTTTATTCCAAGTTGCCTCGGGCTTTTTCCAAATAAAGGAGGAACAGGAACAAGCCTCGATCGAAGTCGCCCCCTTCGTTCGTTCTGCTAACCGCCGGGGATCGCCCGATTCGCATTTTTTCCATTTACGATTGGTCGAAGCTGGTCGTCTGGTACGCTCGACGAAGGGTCGCGAAGAAGAAGGATGGCGGGGTTTCGCTGGAGATTCGCTGGACGTTCGATGGATATCCGAAAAGTCTCCCTCCCTAGCCTCGCTATCCCTCCGTCTGCTGCCGCCGCCACCCCTTTCGTTCGATATCGATCGGTGAAAGGAACACCGCGTAATCCGGCGGCGGTGATAACTAACGGGTCGAATCGAACTCAAGAGGGAGAGAGGGGTCAGTTGACGATAAGGCAAAGATTTTATGGAAAGTGGTAGCGGATCGAAGATGAAGGTGAAAAGGAGGCGAATGGGAGAAGCAGTGGCATAGATAGATGGAGAAGCGAGGGGGTATTCGGTTCGGTTGTGCAAGGGGTTGTGGTGGTGGTGGCGGTGGCGGTAGTGGCGGTGGTAGCGGCGGCGGCGGTAGAGGTGACGGCGAGATTGGTGGGGATCTCGGCAGGAGGGTGGTGGGCAGAGAGCGTAAGGATAGGAAGCGGCGCAGGTCGTTGGTGAAAGAGAGGGTAGGTCTGGGTTGGCGAGGAATGGAGGGAGCGTTTCATCCCTGCCGCGTAGGAGAGGTTCCCCATGGTGTCCGGAACGATTCGGTCCTTTGCCGAGCGTCGAGGTGGCGCCAATGTATCGAAAGCTTGAAAGCATCGATGCGTATGTAACTAGGGCCTTTCCACACCGGAGAAAAGTTCAGTCGGTGATGCGTCGCGGTTGCGACTGGAACAAACCAGAGCACGTGGGTTTTTTCGCGCGAAACCGGCGGCGCGGTGCGTTTCCAATTCTCTGGCTGCGCCACTCCTCCTCGCAGCTCGCCGTTTTCTATCCGTTCTCTCGTGGAAACTGTGATGCGAAAATTATCGTAAAGAGAAGTATACCTCGATATCTGGAAAAGAAGCACAGATCGTGCACGGTTTTTTCCGTTCGTCGATGGAGCACAGGAGGAGGTTGGACGAAAGAGCGCGGTGAATTTTTCGTGTGTGTCGTGCGTCGTCGGTTCGTCGCGCGTTCTTGTTGCGATGCGTGAACAGAGAGACAGAGTAACAGGTGGCTAACGAGTTAACTACGAGATCTCGTTTCGTTTCGTATTCTAAGACGCTTTTCTGTCAGACCAGTTATTTCACTTTGATTCTTTTACCCCACCTTTTCCTCGGTCAGCACACGGAGAAAACGGGAGAAGATTTTGGAAAGAAGGTTGGAAGGATAGGAAATGTTAGTCTCGTAAGTTGTGTGTAGGAGGGAATGGATCGTAAAGGAGACCAAGTTGAAATCGGGCCAGAGATAGTATCGGGACGGGAAGCGAGCGAAACACGAGCTTTCGATGTTTGACGATATTCCAGGAGGTAGGGTGTTTTTGTTTCTCCTCGTAAAATTGATGGTCCGCGTGTAGTAGGAACCTGTTGCTTGGATGTTCTTCGGCATTGACCGAGCTGCATCACGGCCAGGAACTCTTACCTTTGTAGTGCGCGTGCGTTTCGATCGATCGCTTCGCTCGTAATTTTCTTTCGGGCGAAAAGCTCGGTCTTTTCGTTGGCATAGTCTACTACCGGAGCCGGAATCTTTTCACGGGAGAAAGAAAGGTCCGCGTCGCCATGGTCGACGTCGCGTCGTGTCGTTCGTTATCGTGACAGGAATAGGTGCGACGAATTTATCGTTACTCTTCGAGACATTTGGAATACGATTGGAGCCTGAAGAAGATACGTATGTAGTAGAGAGGAGCAGTGAAGAGGGTGGGACGGCTATGGGATTGGAGCGGTTGGGGTGGGGTGCAGAGGGTGAAGATGGAAGGAAATTGATAGTAGGGTCAGGCTGGAAAGCGTATCCTCGGTAGAAGGAATTGTGTGTCGGCGTGGATGCGGTTTAATCGTGTTTGGACGGAATCGTGTCCAGCCAGCGGGATGCGCGCGCCGTATCTATCGACCTTCACAGGAACGTCGTTGCCACGTGCACGACCTAATACATCCCTGACTGATTGGCGTTCGGAATTGGCCGTTCGTTTCTCCACTATCGACAATGTCATAAACTCGGTCTGGAATGGTATGCGAATCGATATCGCGCGACTAATTTCGTTCACGCGTCGCATAATTGTCGGTGGTCGCGCGGCGCTGCCAATAGCAACGCCGTGACGATAGCAGGACGATGGCGAACCCGATAGGGACGATTGTTACAACATATACGTACTTGTTACACATACGTATACTTGAAAGTGGCACCGCGATAACGGTGCTGACCGAGACGACGGCAGTGGCGGCGGCGGTGGCGGCGGCGGCGTCGGCGTCGGCGGCGGCGGCGGTGGCGGCGGCGGCGTCGGCGTCGGCGGCGGCGGCGGTGGCGGTGGCGGGGACGTTGGCGATGCCGTGAACGGTGGCGGTGGTACCGGCGAATCTAGCTAAGATCGATCCAACCCCCTTCTTTCGACCGTTTGTCCAAACGACCGTACGACCGTACGACCGTACGACCGTACAATCTGACTACGCAAACTTTCTCCTCTTTTTCGTCCCACAATTTCGCGCCATCACGCTTGCTCTTGGTTCGAAAAAAGAAAAGAAACGAAAAAAACTCTTACTCGGATTGTTGCCCGCTATAGTTTTCTTCCTCTCACGAACGCTAGAAACGGCTGTTTGTGCTATGCTCGAAGGGACAGGTTCACGCAACGACACGAAACGCTCCTCGAAATGGCGTCGCGCCGTGAGGTGAAACTCTCGAGGCAGAAAGTACTTGCAGTTTCGATCCGCGAACATTATTCCGCGTTGAAACTTTCCTTACTACTCGTGTTTACTATGCGTAGATAAGATTTAGCCCAGGTATCGGAGGAAAACGTTGGTACGATTCGCGCACCAGCGACGAAGATAGGTAGGAAAAGTGCGTCTCTCGTTTCGTTTCCTTTCGTGCGAGTAGATTTTAAAGCGGATCACGGTAATGTGAACGCGTATTCGCGATAATCGTGGCTAAAGACTGTCTTTCGGAACGATAAAATTATGTGGGCTGCAGTCACGAGATCTTTCGAAATACTGGTTGCCTTCTTCGAGTATTACACTACCAGGTAAGAAACGTGCGTTGAACCGGCAATGGATAAGATTAGCACGATAGCGTGTCCCCCCGAAACGACGCAAGGAAGGCGCACCATCTGAACGATGACTCGATTTGATCTTTCTCTCTTTCTCTCTTTCTCTCTTTCTCTCTCTCTCTCTCTCTCTCTCTCTCTCTCTCTCTCTCTCTCTTTGCCGCTTCGTCTTCTCTTGCGATCTTGGTTTCGTCTTCTCTTGCCTCTTCTGGTTTTTCGAATGCTTGTCCGACTCGAGAAACGTTTTTCCTCTTTGGTACTCCTCTCCGTGGAGCGAAGATCGGGTAAATCGGGGTATCGGTCGAAAGGTTAAGGTTGCGACGCAAAGAGGAGGAAGATGATGCGACGCGGGAGCTCCGAGTGGCCACCGAGTCGAAACCGAAACGAGTCCCGAGCATTGTCGCTCGTTACCTCTATCGTTTTTTTTTCTCCGTCGAATTCCAAATCGAAATCCAACACTCACCAACTGCTATTCTGATTTCTTTTGTTTCATGCATTCTTTCGGCGTTACGATTGGAATCCAGAGCGCAATTGGAGTAAGTATATTACGAGTTGGCGAATAGCGAAAACTTTAAACTTACTTTCTCTCGTATTGCTTCACTTGACTCTTCTATCTTCTCTTTCAATTTTCCTTCCTAATGGAAATGCCCCATTCGCGGATGGGCGCTGCTTTTTCTGCGTAAGTAGTTCTATTGAATTAAAATCCCCAGATCTAGATTCCGGTCCTTTTCGTTCGATTCGATTCGATTCGTGTGTGTATTCCATCGTTTGATCTACAGACAAATTTTTGCACGATGCCCAACTATCGCGAGAACCTACACATCCATCTTTCTTTCTGTCTGCTCTGTTCTGCTCTGCTCTGCTCTGCTCTGCTCTGCTCTGCTCTGCTCTGCTCTGCTCTGCTCTGCTCTGCTCTGCTCTGCTCTGCTCTGCTGCTTTAAAAACACTGGCTGCATCCTTCACTTTTCTTTTCTCTTTCCTAAATTGGTAATCGGGATGATACCGTCTGATCGGTTCTCTGCGTTTTCACGAGTGTCGACACAACACCCGCTCCGATCGAACGCGTTTGTTAGCCCTCGGTAGATGCAGGACGAAGAACGTACAAACGACCGTAGTCAGCCGTTGCATTATACGTAGTTGCGTGCTTTTCACACCTATCAGAGTCGTCGTTCACCGTAATTTGTACATACTTACGTACTTATGTAAGTATGTACCTACATATGTATATAGTGGCGAGTCGTCGATGCCGTTGCTTGCAACAGCAAACGAGCTGATTTTGAACCGATACGCGCGCCTTAGACGCTTCATAGTTTTAGTCGGAGTCGAAACAAAGTGCACGTGAAATCGGGGTGACGCGAGATCGTGCAACGATCGAGAAAGGGGGTGAGGGGAGGTGTGTGTGTGTGTGTGTGTGTGTGTGTGTGTGCGTGTGTGCGTGTGTGAATAGAAGAAGAAAAATTAGGAGAAATTATGACGGCGGCGAGCAGTGGCGCGAATATGGTGATTTGGAAAGATGGCGGATTGGTTTTGTCGTAGGACGACCGGTGGTAGTCCAGCAAACAAACCGGCGACATCGGCTGGTGTCGGGGAGGCTGGGGCGAGTGGCCCGAGCAGGGCAAGCGGACTTGGCAAAAAAAGAATCGGCGCTGGCTCCAACGCAGGTACGAGCGGCATCGGCGCAGGAGGAAATGCGGGTTCGGCGAGCGGGGCCGGGGCCAGCGGCATGGCCGGAGGAGCCGGTGAACCTCGTACACCGACCACTGGGGCGCAGAACAAACAGCTGCAGAACGTGAAAGGGGATCATCCATCGGTAGGCGGCCGGCCGGTCGGTACACGTACGAGGATCCTCAGATTCCATCTCTTCTCCCTTCTCTCTTCTTTCTAGAAAGCGTTCCTGCAGAGCAGATCGATGTCCTTGGTGGACATGTACATCGACAATTCAGAGCCGAGCGAGAACGTCGGTCAAATTCACTTCAGCCTGGAGTACGACTTTCAAAACACTACGCTTATCCTACGTATCATACAGGTTAGTTGGGTTGCTCCGAATCAACGACGGAGGAGAGACGCGTGTGATTGGACGCGTGCGTGTTTCAGGGTAAAGATTTGCCAGCGAAGGACTTGTCCGGAACGTCCGACCCTTACGTTCGCGTAACCCTTCTGCCGGACAAGAAACACCGACTCGAGACGAAGATAAAGAGGCGCACGCTTAACCCTCGATGGAACGAAACATTTTATTTCGAAGGTAAGACCGAGACCGAGGTGACCGGACGGACGTCGCTTTCGTCGCTTTAACCAACGACGAAACTTTCGTTGCACAGGTTTCCCGATCCAGAAATTGCAAAGCAGGGTGCTACATTTACACGTGTTCGACTACGATCGATTCTCGAGAGACGATTCCATCGGAGAAATGTTTCTTCCACTTTGCCAGGTAAGATAATTCCTTATGTTTTTGGAAAAGGCGCGCCGCATCTGATATGTACATGTTCTGGGAACGCGGTCCGCGATAGGTCGATTTCTCGGAGAAACCGTCGTTTTGGAAAGCGTTGAAACCACCGGCAAAGGACAAATGCGGAGAATTGTTGTGTTCGTTGTGCTATCACCCGAGCAACAGCGTCCTAACTTTGACGCTTCTGAAAGCGAGGAATCTGAAAGCGAAGGACATCAACGGAAAGTCAGGTGAGGCTAGGAAGGGGAGGAGGAGATGTTGTGTCAGAAAATAAATACGAGGATATTTGTCTCTAACGCGTTCTACAGATCCTTACGTGAAAGTCTGGTTGCAATTCGGCGATAAGAGGATCGAGAAACGGAAGACCCCTATATTTAAGTGCACTCTGAATCCGGTGTTCAACGAGGCGTTCTCCTTCAACGTGCCGTGGGAAAAGATTCGAGAATGCTCGCTGGACGTGATGGTAATGGACTTTGACAACATCGGGCGAAACGAGTTGATCGGACGGATCCAACTGGCAGGTAATTGCTCGATCGAACGATCCCTCTTCGACCAGCAGACGTGGAGAAATATCCGTTCCGTTCGGGTGTGTTTCAGGGAAAAACGGGAGCGGAGCGAGCGAAACGAAACATTGGCAAGACATGATCACGAAGCCGCGACAGACGATCGTGCAGTGGCATCGACTAAAACCGGAGTAAAAAGTATCGAGCGGATCCGATAGCCACGCGACTTGCGAGAACATCGGAAACCGCCGATCCAACCTTATCCGCTAACCTGTGACCCACTGTGTAACGGCGACGGAATACATACCTCTTCCTGTCCTTCAACCTACCCCCTCCCCACGCCCCTTCGACCCCGGCTACTTTTCCCTACTCCTTCCCTACTCCTTCCCTACTCCTTCCCTACTCCTACACCCCTGTAGTGACAAGTTGTAACGAGTAAGCGGCGCGAAACTCGCGCGACCCAGAGGTATCGCTGTTCGCCCCGATTCCCCCCTAGTAGTTGTTGATCTGTAGCAAGAGAATCGCGTCGAAGGCGAGCAACTGGAACGCGCGCGC